CCTGAAATCAACATCATTGAGCTTATGCGCTGCATGAAATCGACATTTTGCTGGTTTCTAGGTGAAACCAACATCCTTGCCATCACGCGTTAACATGAAATCAACATATAAACCTTTTTTGACCTAAAATCAACATTTTTGAGCTTATAGGTTGCATGAAATTGACATTTTGCTGCTTTCTAAGTGAAATCAAAGTCCTTGTGGTCGCAGTGAGCCAATCCTTTGTTATGATAAACCGAGGCGAGACTTCAACTTATAACAAAGGTTTGCCTTGGCTATTATAACAAAGGATCGGCTCTGTTTATCATAACAAAGGCCTGGGTTCGTTTATTTGAAGGCCTCAGCGGGAAAAGGGTGTTAGGTATTTTAATCAAAAGTGAGCTTTGTCGAAAACGCTCCAAATTTCGCATGTAGTTTTGTTTAGGTATGTTTGGCAATGTCCCGTAGTTTTTCCGCTAAGCTTCGCTTCGTTTGCGAGATATTGCATATGTAAAAAAACCACTCGGTTTTCCTAGTGGTGTCTTCATAAACGAAGCAAAACCCAGCAGGAAAAATACAGGACCACGTTTTTCTATTACATTGAAGACCACATGCAAAAATTCAAGCCCTTTCGCAAAAATTTTTTTTTTCACCCAAATCGTCACTTAGCATGGTTTTGCACTCACCCCTTCAATTATGATAACCTCACAAAATTCTTCCAGCACATATTTTCAAGAGAACCTAACCATGACATATACTGTCACTGTGAAAATGTGCCTAACACTAGCCCGTACACATTTACTCCTGAAGATGCTCCAACCTACAGTATAGCCCCAAGAGCCTATCTTGCCAATATACATGTACATGTAAGCACTGAGTGCATGTAGTTTAGGTTTCCTGTTTCTTTTACCAAGTTACATAACTGGAAGTTACACCCGGTTTCCATCTACCCAATTCAAATTTGTGGTGGCCACTTAAGAGTATTTAAAATATCGCTGCTGTGCAATCTTCTGCCTAGGTTACATCTTGCCACCCACATTTCAAATATTTATTAGTGAGAATACTGTGCGAGGGCAAGATCGAAAAGTGGTTTTCTTTGCACACTGTTCAAACCCAATAAATTGTTCATCAACATAACTCAAACATTCATAAGCAAAACACGTTTCATACCTTTGCGTCCTTGGCTTCCAGTTTCTGTCTCTCTGTCAGCTTACTTCGACACTGTATGGACAACAAAACTGACTGAGACAACAGACACTATACATTGTAGTCATAAACACAAACCAGAAACTGAAGTACATTTAAAATCTGCATATTGTGGATTGAACAATCTGCAGGCTAAACATTTTGGCATGTAAACCAACATTTCTATAGAAACCTATCAGGGCTATTAACAATGACAGACTAAAGTAATTTTTCAAATGGAAAATTAGAAGAAAAAAA